CCAGTTCCCCTGATGGCAAAGAATTTCTATTATTTGCATATTTTGTATTCTACCCAGAGAAGGAAATCTCAAATGTCAAATTTTGTTTGCACAAACTTGATAATAGATGAGCTAAAAGTGATTAACAAATTGCTGTATTAATTGCAACAAACAGTTAACAAACAACAAATGTAAATGTATTAGTATTTTTAATAGGCCTACCTAGGCTATTCAAAAGTTTGAAGGCGGGGATGAGAAGTCTCTTAAGCTCACCTTGACTGCAAGTTGTATTTCCAGCAATGCACCAGTCTTTATTGTTACATGATCCTTCAGGAATCGTTCTTATATGCCTATTTCGGGCTCAACAACAATTTATTATCATTATCAATATTGAAAACATTTTGTGGAAACTGTGATAATTTTTTTTAAGGATTCTTTGATGAATAGAAAGTTCAAATGACCTTCACTTATTTGAAATCATCAACATATTTTGTTATATTATAGGCCTACATGTTTTTACCTTCACTTTTAATCAATGAATCACGTAATTGCTGAATAAAAGTATTTATTTCGTTTTTAAAAATCATACTGACCACAAACTTTTGAATGGCTGTACATGTTTAGCATGTAACCGAAGAAAGTCGAAAGCAGACGTCCTATCCGAAACAAACCAGACAGTGATATTTCACATTTTATCACCATCACAGAAGGCTACTCATTTAAAATCTCACACTTGCAGTGTAAACGTTATATAATGTGGATCATCATGTAGGAAAGTTGTAAAATAAGATTAAAGCCTCTATGGTTTTATGGACATAACACCATATCAAACAGCTGACACTCATATTTTCCCATTTGCTTCTTCAATGAATTGTACTACTCATTCCAGATTAGACAGATAAGTTTGGTGCTGGGTGACTTTTCTGGGGACCTTTCTGTGTGTGTGTGACTGCATATTAGTGGGTGGATGGGTGAGTATGTGTGTCTGAAGTGTGGAGGTGAATGCTCCATGAATAAAGGGAGGTAATTTAGTTGCCTGCAGCAGTAGTGTGCATTCTGACCTTATCAGAGCAGCCTCTGTTTTTTTCTGCTAAACCTAGTGAGTCACCAGCCACACACACACATTATAAGAAATTGAATGATATTGTCAGGGGAATGTGTCCTATGAGAGAAGTAGGCGAGAGAGAGAGCAGTGGAAATGTTAATGCGGGTTTCACCTGCCCAAGCGGAGAGCTGCAGCCACTCACCAAGCATCCATCAGATGCTCTCAGAAGCAGTTTAGGCGCCCAGAGAGAGCTAGAGATATGTGGCCTCAGCTTGGGCAGGTGATTGATCACCTTCGCGGAATTACACCTTCTCCAATGCGAAGTCAGCCCTAGGATTAATGAGCTGCTCTCTCTCTCCCTGAGGTAGAGCGGTTTTCAGTGATTGAAACACAGCTTTCATAGAAAGAGATGGCTGAGGACTCACAACTCACTTCCCAGATGAGTGTGTGTGTGTGTGTGTGTGTTCTCAGGTCAACGGCAGATAGAATGGACTGTGCTGTCATCATCTTCCTTCACTTACAGGAATAGCTCACTTGACCCTTACTGTGTGGTGAACATTTACTTCCTGCCTGGTCATCTGCCTGGGGAAAAAATAAAATCATCAATGAAAAAAGATGAGATGCTGCAAAAGAAGTGAGATGCGGGACACAAGCGCAATGGTTAAACATTGGTAGTCATATTTACTGTTGATCACTGAATTTTCACAACTGAAATCCAGTCATTTCAATAGAAATGCATGCAATTTCAAAGCGTTTATGAAAGTTCCTGAGAGAATCACAGTAAATTAATTGCTATCTGATCTCTTCAATGGATCACTTGATTCAATTTGCAAAGAATAGTCTAAAGGGCCAATCACACAGAACGAGGTTTTGCTTTTATGAAAGATGTTTACATAGAAGAAACTATGGAAATTCAGCGCAGTGGAAATGGAAAAATCCGTCCTGTGTGAATGCCCCCTAAAGGTGCGGTAAGTTGCTGTCTTTTGCAAAAATTTTGAGGGAGAAATCCAGTCATTTAAAGAGTAACTAAACCCTAAACTAACTTTTTTTTTGTAAATAATCTTTAAGAATGGATCTTTATTAATAACACATTGATTCAAGTAACTTTTTTGATATTTGTGTAAGTGTTTTATTTCTACAATATATGGTGTAAAAACGTCTTAGTGCTGCCCTCTTCAGGTTAAATGGTGGTTACTGTAGTTGAATTTTCCTATTGGATGTTCCGCACTTCGTGACGTACGCAGGTTTCAGCTCACCACGCTCTTGGTACGAGCGGCAGTATAAAAACCAGCTTGTTTCGTCAAAACCACTGTAGCGAGTCAGGAGTTGGAATTGCGAGGATTGAAAATGGAGTGTTTTAGCATCTTTTTCGTCCCCTCTATCTCCGCTGGGGTCTGGTTTTAGTTAACCTTTAAATAAGAGTTCCTTTAATCTGGGGTTTTGCATAAGCAAAAGTGTCTACACTTTTGACAACTGACATTTTTTGCTTGCCAAATTTTTTTGGTTAGTTTTCAAGTTCAACTCACTGATTCAATGAGCTCAACCAGCTAATGGTTAAAGGAACACTCCGACTTTTTGGGACTTTAGCTTATTCACCTTACCCCCCAGAGTTAGATAAGTCCATACATACCTTTTTCATCTCCGTGCGTGCTATAAGTCTGTTTGACGCACCCACCGCTAGCCTAGCTTAGCACAAAGACTGGATGTAAATGGTTGCAGCTTTCATACTAATCCAAATGAGTGACAAAATAACGCAAACGTTTTCCTATTTACATGTTGTGGTTTGTATAGTCACAGAGTGTGCAAATATCAAGGCCATATGAGACACAGACATCTTTTGACCATATAAATACTATATTTTCTGAAGGCGAAGCACTGCTACTTGGGCAGAGTGATAACCATCACCTGAGACGCACCGTGACGAGGAGCAGAGAGTTCGCTCAGTGTTGGCGTAAAGAGTCAGCAATAGATAGAAAAGCATAGTTTATCATGGGTGTTTGCTTTATTGTATGAGCTGTGACAATAAACAGGGGAGACCAGGTAGTACAGTACCATGTTTCATTGATTTCCAACCAAAAACGCACCCAGATTTATAAATATCACATGAATAAATAATTATTATTACAGGAATCAATATATTTTAAATGCAATTTATTAGCTGAACCAAATGTATTCAACAGTAGCCTATATAATATACAGTATAATTGCATTACTATAGGATAGAATAAGGGGAAAGTAATAGCACAAATTGTTTTTGCACAATGAACTCACAGCCTATCGTACCCTTTTGCACGCTCAAGTTCGTTATTTCCATGGTTATTTCAAATTCCGCCGCGCGCAGGGTGCAAGTTCAACGCGGTGAACGCGCTCGTTTTTTTTCCAAGCGCGTCCGCTCCGCATCAAGATAAAAACATATTCATACCCTAATCATATAATAGTGTCACTAACGTTATATTAGCTCTGGCTAATGGCACTGTTACAGTAGGTCATCTAAAAACATAACGGAACACTTACCTCAGCCGCAGGTGATCCACTTGTCCTGTCTGTGCTATCGATGGGATAGCCGTATCCTTCAGCACATTATGGTCCGTGTGGCAAATTCCATTTTTTCAAAATAGTGGTCCATTGAAATATACCGAGCAAACATAATGTCCCTTGATAATCTATTTAGGTGTATTTGGATAAATATCCAGAGTAAGTTAGCCATTTCTTCATCCAGTCAGCGTTTTTAGTTGGAATTCTGTGAAACATGGTTACCTCCCCTGTTTACAGTCGCAGCTATTTACAATAGAGCGAAAACCCATGACTCTAAACTACGCTTTTACTATTTATAAATTTCTGACTCTGTTACCCAAACACTGAGCGAACTCTCCGCTCCTTACCACGGCGTGTCTCAGGTGATGCGGTTATTACTCCGTCAAAGTAGCAGTGCTTCGCCTTCAGAGAATAGTTCCCAGGTTTATACGGTTAAAAGATGTCTGTGTCTCATTTGACTTTGTTATTTGTACATTATGTGACTATACAAATCACAACATGTAAATAGGAAAACGTTTGCGTTATTTTGCCACTCTTTTGGATTAGTATGAAAGCTGCAACCATTCACATCCAGTCTTTGTGCTAAGCTAGGCTAGCGGTGGGTGCGTCAAACAGACTTATAGCACGCACGGAGATGAAAAAGGTATGTATGGACTTATCTAACTCTGGGGGGTAAGGTGAATAGGCTAAAGTCCCAAAAAGTCGGAGTGTTCCTTTAAATAGCCTAGCTGGCATTTGTAATTCATGTTTACAGCAAGAATATATCAATCACTAATTTAGGATAGTAGGTCCAAATCCAATATATTTCATTAGACAACCCAATTCCCTCCTGCAAAAGTTTGTTTGTGGCCACAGAGATATGCATGAATGTGCCAAGAGCATGATTCTCATATAAACACATCAGCATATTTGCATTGTTAACCATTAGCTTAATGCATTAATTTAAATTTGAACAACCATTGCAATTAAGCAAAACAGCACCAGTGTGTGACTTGCTGCATGATTTTATTCAGATGAAGTAAGAGTTTAACACCAAGGCCTGGAGCAAAGCCCCGGGCTGCCACATTCTCACTGCAGGGGCCTTCATGAGTTCAACTGTGTTCCTGAAATAAACATCTCTTATTTCATTTTCTTTAGCTTGTCACGTACTCAGTATCCCGTATGTTGTGGCGAGTGCATCAGTTTATTCATGCTGCTAATACATACTTTGTGTGATCTGGTAGATTAGATTTAATGAGGCAGGCATCAGGCATCATTTATGGTTTGTTGTGTGTCGCTATAAAACAGATAAATGCTTCCTCAGACTTCAGAATGAAAGCAGATTTACATTGAGATGACATTGAGGATCAAATGTATTTCATTTTCTGTGATGGTTTTAGGACTGCCAGTCCCTCTGATGAGACGGTATCTGACAGGCTTTCTCTCTCTGTGTGTTCTTTAGGTGGTGGGCCCTCCAGCTGCAGGGGCTTTCAGAGAGAGGCCAGCTAAACCCACGGCCTTCCGTAAGTTCTACGAGCGTGGAGACTTCCCCATCGCCCTGGAACATGATTCTAAAGGCAACCGCATTGCATGGAAGGTAGGTAAAACGTGGCTTGTGCTTCTGTTGTCTTTCTAGTATGTTGTGTATCGCTATTCAGATATTCAGACACACCTTCTAAAATTCAAACATTAAACAACCTGTAGATGATTTCTTCTTTTAGATTCCACTTTCTTGAATTATTCAATTACATTTGACTAAAGTCAAATATAACTCAGGGTTCCCCCCGGGCCAATGAAATCCTTGAAAGTTTGTGAATCAGTTTTTTTTTTCAAGGCCTGGAAAGTTTTTGAAAATAAACATGCAGGTCCTTGAAAGTGCTTGAATTTATTTTGTGCAAGAAATTTTCTGGAAAAAATTCCATATTATACCCTCCGCTCCGCTAATGTGTTATTTTGCCAACACTTCGTATCCTATGCATACTAGCTTGCTTGATTTACATTAATTACGCGTATTAATGCTTTATTACGTTAAGTGTTTCCAGCGTGAGGTACTTTGTTTTGTACGTTGCCATGACGTTCACTCACACAAAACGAACAATGTATCCTACAAGGTAACACAATGTATTGCTCTCATTTGAAATGTGTCCCCACATTAAGTCCTTGAATTTGAGGGTATTGGACCCAGAAGGTCCTTAAGAAGGCCCTTTGAAGTTAACCAAGGTGGATGACTAGTGCTCTTTTTACTACATGAACTGAACTTGCTTTGACTCATTTACCTTGAGACAGTCATGAGATGATCTCTATGAGAACATTTCCTTTTTTGTTTCTGCTTTTTTGTTGGACCACATGCCCTTGATTTTGTAAAAGTATTTTTTTTGCACATGACAATGAAAGATTTATTTCTTTTCGCTAATTAAATAAGTAATTTATCAATTTTATCACAGAAGAGGTGTTTTCAAGTCAAAACACTTTATGTATGAATTACATTTTAAAGGTGCAATAGGTGATTCTCTACAGAAACTTTTTTTTTTACACTGGTTGAAAGTCTCGTTATATGCTGATATCACTACGTTAAGCGGTCTAAATGTATTTTTAAAATTATATATAATCTGTGGAAGGCATAGAATCATAAAATGTTTGTTCAATCACTGCATTCGGTCTGAATTAAATGATAGCATGTGTTCCCTGTCAGTCAACGTGTGTTTACATACTACTGCGCAGCCTGTTCGTGCAGACATCATTTGTCATCAGTGCATTTTACGTACGTTGTGCAGACGGAGCGAGAATGGCTGGAAAACAACCTAACTTTCCTTCTGAACCGACAACAAGTGGCAAGTATCTAAATTTCATGTTTGACAGTACAGTTTTATGTACTGCTGACATTCAGTGAGATTCGGCTTTGTTGCCGCTATGTCCTGAAATCGCAAATGACTCTAGCTGAAATGCAGTGCATTCTTTTCTCTGTCAACTTCTGAACTGGAGTTATTTCACAATTACATACCATACAATAATGGAATTATTCTTAGGGCACCAAAATGACTAGCAGCGGTGCTGGATTTTGTCCAATAACGTTGTCCCTGGTCGTTTCACTTCTGGCCTGTGCGTGTTCATGTGTTTTGGAGGAGACGTAGCCTTGGACAGTGATTTGCAGGGAGGGTGGGATCATATGTTTTCAATGCTAGCAGGCTAAAGTTAGCATTTCCCATATCAGTGTATGTATATATTATTATTTTTGTATGTATATTACATGTGTGTGCATGGTGTGTATATAGACATACATAGCCACACAAATCAAAAACTTTTATGTTAGATGTGATTCATCAATTATTCATACATTAAATAGATGGCAAGTTTTAGAGACTTTTTCAAAGGCATAAAAAAAATCGAACTGACCCCAAACGTTTGAACGATCCCCGTCTTGATAGGAAAGTAAAAGTAAAAGAGCTCTGATCAATCATTGATCAGAGCTCTGATGTTCATTGTCCCCACTGTACTGCAGTCTTACTGTTTGTGGCTGATTGAAAAATTGACTGTAACTAGTCTGGGTATGCCTGCAGGTTAGACATTGTGTTTTTTTTTCTAAAGGTCAGCAGTAGTGTTATCAGTGTTAACCTGCTGTGTTCGCTCAAATTCAGAGGGATCAGAACAGTCCCAGACAAGCACAACTTACAAAAAACAGACATTCACCTCTCTCTCCTTCATGAGTATTTCTCCTTTTCCAGGTTGAAAAACTCAAAGCCTCGGCATGAATTATTTAAAGCAAATTTCAAAATGAATTTTCCTACGTTTTGAAAAAAAGAATGTCTCTTTTTCTTTGTGTTGTTATGAAATTGCTGGGAGCCGACAGGAAGTGGTGTATGAAATTGTAGCTGTCACATCTAATGCATCTGTAATGCTTATTGATTTTCTTTCTCATGCTGCCGTTGATTTGATTCTGCTTTTCACACGCAGTATTTACACGCCTTCGCTCCATAAATATAAAACGCGTATCCATGAGTAAAATCATGCCCCCATCGACCCCTGTTGAAATAAGGGGTAATAGGTCACCTAGAGGTCATGCTGTGGCTGAGAGCATTTGTAAGTGTTTCATTAGGTTTAGGTTAGTTTAAGTGGTAGCAGCACATGTGCATATGAAAGGCTGGTTTATTACGTGAAGTGCAGAGGAACCCTTGGGGCAATAGTTCAAGATGAGGTGACCAGATCAATCTGTCTAAAATAGAGGGAGAGAAAGCAGTAATAGAGTCTTGTTTTCGTCTAGCCGGTTTAATCATGTGATGTCAGATCAACACACTGCAGATCTGTCATTAGGTCAATGATACAACACTCCGGATCTATTCATTTATTTAAAAAATACACACACAAAAAAATGCAATTTGCAGGGCTCGATATTAAGCTTTTTTAAATCTGTCATTCACTTGTCCAAGTAAAAAAGTTGCTTGTCCGAAGGTTGTTTTTTTTGTGTGTGTGTTTATTCATATTCTCATCAGTGTTCACTCAACTTTGATATATTTAAATTGGCATATTGTAATATATGCATCTTTAAAGGGCATCCCCTCCCCCAATCTCATTAAAATGCCTAAAAAAAATTCTAAATTTGATCTATAAATTATTTAGAATAATAAGACCCTATAGGACTGTTACCCTAGGTAGGGCTGATCAAATTAAATCATTTACATTTAAAAATTACAATTCCATAAAATAATGTTATGAAATTGATTTAAATATACAAATAAGAAACGTTTTAAACATAACGCTAAACCGCCAGTAGGTGATGGCAGGAGTCATTTATTCATTCATTCAAACGATTCGTTCAAACGGCTGATTCATTCAAGAATGAGACAGATGTTTATGAATGGGTCATTGAATCTTTGACTCAACCGATTCGTTCAAAATGCTGAATCATTTAGTAATGATAACACGGTTGAGTGCTCCTGTGAGATGCGCTGTGGTTTTGTTGTGATTTTTGTTTGGAACAATTTCCGCTGTTGAAACATAACAAAAACAGACAATATTGCAACTAAAATGTAAGTGACTTAATTTCAACTTTTTATTGAACTGTTGAAGGCTATCAAAAAATAAAATATATATATATATATATATATATAATAATTATACACGGGACCCCTGTGGACCCTCATGACAGTGTGTCATGGTCAAAAGAATATCTTAAAGTATTAAATAATTGGACTTTTGACAAAGCAAGGTATGTTTAAGATGCAAAATGTCATGTGCTGTGAATTCTGAATATTTAAAAAATGATGTTTATGAATGAGTAATTCATGATATGTTAATTATTCGGGATACCTTTGAATAATATATTTAAACATATATATTTTTTTTTAAGTTATTAACTTTAAACTTTTCTTTAAAATCGTATACAAGTTTTTCAAAACCAACAAGTGAAAAAGAGTGAATGAATTTGTAAGAATTGACCTTTGTGATGGCCAAAGATGATGTATCCAATGCCTTTTAACTTTATCTGTATATCCCTTGTCATCTCATTTCGTCTCATGTCCTCTGTTGAGTGTGTATCCCCCTCTCTGTGCAGTAGGGAGCAGCAGTGCATTCCTGCAGGCGTTTCAAAGTGTTTCCCCTTCTACTCTCCTATGTACCTCCCTGTCTTTCTGCTTCAAGGTAAACATGGTCCTTCAGAAGGCCCCTTCGAGTTAGTTATTACTGTGTGCGTTTGCATCTTTAAACATTGAGTTTGAAACTTTTGCTCATGTGTGAGCCTTCAGATGTGTGCATTCAGGCAGGAGATGTATGTGTGTGTGATGTATGAGGACAGACGCTGCTGTTTAAATGTCAAGGGCAGCGTTTGAATGCACAGGGATGTGAAGTAGAGAACTGATATTTTTAGAGTCCTCACAATTCTCTCGTGCTGTCTCCGGAGTTAATGCTTTGACATGTGGTGTGTTAAGAACATGTGCGGTGGACTGATAACAGTAAGCAGGAGGTCTCTCTCTTTCTCTCTTACACTCTTTCTCTCTCTCTGTGTGTTTGTGCATCTCTCGCATTTGGCCCTGTTGCTATCAGAACAGTCCATCAATTTTATGGTGCTCCAAAGTGGGGTGGTGGTGGGGGGTTTATCTGATGACCTGGTCACTGATAGAGATGAGAATCTGGCCAGTCCTCCCCAAAAAAATGCTGCTTGCTTCTAAATGCCAATTGCAACAAAAAAAAGAGATTGTAGATTAGACGCTTTAGTGATTAAATGTTTAATGCTAAATACATGAGCCCATATTTTGTTTTCTGTACTTAAAAAAAACTAAATGCTTGAATCCATTCACTATACAAACACACACACACACACACACACACACACACACAATAGCTGAGTATGAACTTCTATTAATTTGTCCTCATTGCCATGGCAATGATTAGCAATGAAGTCAGATTAGCTCAGCATTTTTGTAAAATTACTTCTCAAACTACCCAAAACTCAACAAACAACAATTGATCATGTTATAACAGACAGCAGCAAAAGGCAAGACAATACTGATTTAAAAACAATGGTGTTGGTTGGGGCATTGCGAACTAGCTTTAGGCTAATAGGCCTGTTTCACACTAAGATGAATATTCAGTGTGAAAATTCGG